GGCATGGGTGTGCTTCTTCCCGGGGGGAACCCCCCCCCCAGTCACGCTGTGGCAGGGAATTCCCCGCTGGAAGGAGAGGCCACCCACATTTGCCTCCACACCGCTGTGGGGTGACTCCTCACCGCTGGTGCTCCCTGGGGCAGGGGACGGGGCTGCAAGCCCCACGGGCAGGGTCCAGCTGCCCTCAGTGGACCACGGGGCAGGGGAACAGCCAGGGGAGCCAGGTCAGACTAGTTGGGGACAGGAGTGAGGGGCAGAGCTGGGGGACCAGCTGCAAGAACACCCCTGGCCTCGGCGGGCTGTCTCTCGCTGGCCCCAGCCCGGGTATGGTCTGGGCAGGGAGATTCCCTGCTGGGTTTTGCATCAGGCCCCCGGTCCTCACGGTGGCACCTGCGCCGAGGTGTCCTTTGCCCGCTTGCAGGGACAGCCCCTGTTTCTCCAAACCCGCTCCCAGGTACCACGTGCAGGAGGGAGGCCGCGGCATCGGCCTTTTTCAGGTATGGCAGAGATAAGGCTGCTCAGACAGGGGACTTTCCAAGGCAATTCGGTTTGAACTTTAAACCTCTGCTGCTTTCACTTTCCAGAACCACGCTGGGCTCCCAGGGGAAAGAGCAGGGCCCAGGGTCGCGTCCCGCAGCAGCCAGCCCCCACGCCCCCAGGAATCCCCCAGGCCCCTCTGCCACGACCCACGCCATGCCGGGCCGTCACATGGGGACAAGTGGGGCAGTCACTCAGGGGAGGTGGAAACACCGGGGCAGCCCTCTGCCACCGCCGGCACCTCGCTCTCCCTGGCTTGGGTGGCTTTGCGGGTCAGCGAGGCGGCAGAGGCACTCGGGGCTCAAATGATGCTGAGCAAGTTTGGGGACCTATGGCGTAGGGGCGATGGGGATGACCGTCCCCAGCCGGCCAGAGCTCAGGCTTTCACCTTGAAGCTGGGACATGCCTGCTTTGAAGGATTGCTGTCCTCTTCGCCCCCCCCTCCTTCTCCAGCCGGGTGCTGTCTCCTCCTGCGCTTTCATTTCTGCATTCATTCCCCTCTTTCCTCATTGCCAGCCCTCAGCTTCCTGAAACGCCTGCGAGAGCTGTGAGCTACTCGGGGGAATTGTGGCAAGGCCACCGGGCTGAGACAAGCTCACCAAGAGCGCTCTGTGCCACGGGTAGTGATGCCAACCAGGAATCAGGATTGTCCCCTGCTAATCCAGGAAACCTCCTACACCCAGGCGTCGTGCTGATCTCCATTTTCCTCCGGCCAAGGCCACAAGCGCACCTCTCTCTCTGCCACGGCGACCGCGTGGTCCAGCCGCTGGTGAGCTGCTGCATGCTGGCACGGATGAGCCACAGAGCCAGGGCACGGCGATGGAGACATACCCACTCGCTGCCAGACACCCCTCCTCACCCAGCCACGGCCCTCCGCCTCTGCCTGCAGCCACGGGGGACTTTTGGAAAGGGTAACAGGGAGTTTTGGAGCGGGCAGGCGATGGAGGAGCTGTGGGCAGGGGAAATGTGGCCAGCCTAGGAGTACAGACTGCGGGGCTTGGTCTCAGCTTTTCCACTTGCTCACCAGCTCCATCCCGGCACAAGGGGACTCGTTAGCCCTCTGAATCGCAAAAGTCCCATGGGCACAGGGCATTCCCGGCATGAGGTGATCTACCCATCATCAGAGCAATAACGATCCTGGAGCAGAGGGGTCAGGGCCATCCCTGGGGATGTCCCCGGATCTGAACACGCAGCACTGCCATGCCCAAGGTGGTCCTAGTTTAGGCACAGAAGAACACCCATTTCCACAGTGCTGTCTATCTCCCAGGCTTCTGAGTGAACTCAAGCGCCTGGTAGGAAAAGTGTCCATGTCTGAGGATGCCTGTACCTGGAGGCAAGGAGTAAGGGTAAGGGTGACACCCAGATCTGACACACACCAGCTCTCTGGCTATCATCTTCCCTCCCTCTAGAAAAGGGGGCTGACGATGTATGTCTGTGGAGCAAGACACCTTGTCCTCAAAGCAGCCTCTCTTATCACCATCTCACCCCAGAAGAGCCCAGGACAAGGGATATGGCATTCAGTAGAATTTGCTTTGACAAATTTTTCTCCCTGTCTAGATAAGGGCCCCTTCTGTAGTGGGAACAGTTAGCTCCTGGCTCCATATTCTGGCTGAGTGGAGCAGTAGGAAATCAGACAAACAATTCACACAAGAGAAACTTGTTCAGGGGAGGAAATGGCCCCAGCACCAATAGAGAGCAGAGCGAGGGAGGAGGAAAACAGCAGGGGAATTCCACGCTTACCCTGCCCTCCTGTTCCAGCCCCGTAACCTGCGCTGCTAACCGCTTCCTCAGCCATCAGCATGAACCTCTGCCAGCAGGCTCAACAAGCACAGCTCCGTCCTGTCCTGCAGCCCTCCACCAGCCCAGCCCGGCTCCCTTCCTCCTCGCATACCAATGTGATGCTGCCCGGCTCCATAAAACTGTGCCAGCTGCCCTCTGGCAGCTCCAGGGGAGCAGCAGATCCCAGCCGGCTGTAGGCTGATCCCCACATCCTCTGCTCCTGCCCTGGGCCTCATGTTCTGCACATTTCTTCTCCCCTTTCCTGGGCAAAGCCCCTTCAGCCGTTGGGTTCAGTCCCCTGGATCTCCAGCTGGGGTAGCAGCTGCCTCCCAGCCTGATGCTCCTGGGGCCAGAAGGAAGGGTGGGAGCCGATGGGCGAGCAGGGCAGACAGCCTCCACCTCTCCTGTGGTGCTCTGCAGAGGGTCTGGTCCGGATGCTTGGCGGAAGAGGGGTGCTGGAGGCTGACTGGCAGGGGAGGCATTGTGAGAGGACTCCGGGCGTTTCGTTTTTCAGTGAGGTGAGGGAGGAAGAAGAGGAGGAGGTGAGGAGATGAAGGTGCCCCTGTTCACCCACGTACTGCACCCCTGGCCTTACATCCTCTAGACTCTGCACCCACACGTTTGAGCATTTTGCTCCACTTCTGAGCAGGTGGTGGGGGCCTGGATTGCAGAAACCCTAAACATCAGATGCACGCGGACTGTCCCCTGAGCAGGTGGTGGGGTCCCGGATTACAGAAACCCTAAACATCAGATGCACGCGGACTGTCCCCTGAGCAGGTGGTGGGGTCCCGGATTACAGAAACCCTAAAGATCAGATGCACGTGGACTGTCCCCTGCAAAATGAAGGGTCTGTCCTGCACTACCATCACCGCAGGGATGAACCAAGCCAGAAAGCAGGTCAGCCCGTGCCAGGTGGATGGAACCGGTTTCCCATACGTGGGCCGAGAAGCAAAATGAATGATTGCAATAAAAGCATCCCGAAAGGTCCATAGGCCGTGGCAACTCCATTTCAAATGGAGCAAATTCCCATTCTTGCTCATCAGAAGGAAAATACATCTCTGTGTGCAGTTTCCGTGCACACAGAGATATCTTTAGGCCAGAACAGCCTCTCGCGAGAGGACAGTACCTGGACTTTGCCAGAGCCAGTATAACACACCCTAACAATCATTTACAGCCCCACGCACATATCCTCGCTGCCTCAGGATTTTCTTTTAACAAGGCACCGGTCATGGATCTAGGATGTCTCAGGGTCCCCTTTCAGCCCTGCATCTACCCCAGTCAGAGGGGCTTCCCATCTCCAGGACTCAGAGAGCATCCCACGCAGCTCACTGAGAGGCGTCCAGTAACCACTCTCACAGCTCAGAACCCACAGCTTCTCTTCCTACACAGTCACGTCTGACTCCTCTTTTATCCACACTGTATTAAAAAAAAACACCAAACCAACAAAAATCAAAACCTTCTTTGTTAATTCAGCTGAGCTCAACCCTTTTCCCAGCAGCAGCCAAGCCTGCCTACAGAGTGCAAGGACCTGAAGCCCTCCCCACCTCGACTGATCTGTTCCAGCTAGGAATCAGCCTTCTGCATCCCAGGACATGGAAATTTCCAGCCATTCTTTCCCTTCCTTTGTGCTGAAGTTCCCTGTGCCGTTCCCCCAGCTCCAAGGCAAACTTATGCAGGTGGAAAGTCTGAAGAAACTTCCCCCAGGCCAGGCTGAAGTCATCCGACCAGGGGAAAAAAATAAATCTCTTCTTGCCTGCAGGACCTCGGAGGGGTGTCATGACTTACCCACCTTATGCCATGGCTGTACGTGTGTGACTCCTGTGGCAGCCAGCAACTCCTGAGGCATCCTAAAGGAGCCTGTGGAGAGCTGCCTGCCCTCGCTTGGAGGGGCACCAAGCCCTCCCCTGCGCACCAAACTCCTGAGCACGCACAGAGAAAGAGCGGAGAGTCCGGGCACGGGGAGCTGGATGCAGCAGGTTCCCTTCTCCCTCCAGCCCCACATTAGGACTCATTTTGTTCTCTGCCCCCCAACGACAGTGTACTAGGGAGCAACCGGGATGGACTTGAACTCCTCTGGCAATCGGGCAAGGAACTTTCCAAAGTCCCTCTGGAAAAACCAAGGGCATCCCTGCTTCCCATTAACTATGGCCATCCCACTGCTGGGCAGCCAGCAACAGCCCAGCCCAGCTGAGCAGGAACCTCCCAGCTCGACCAGCAACCAGATGTGCTCTCTGCAACGTACTTCTTTAATCTTTCTCCTACAACTGTGTCTCTCCACTGCTCTGCTTCTTTTTCCTTCTTTCACGGTAGTTTCCCTTTGCTGCCACACGCCAAGCGCTCCCCCAGTCACACACGCTGGGATCCAGGGGTACGGGGGTGCAGCAACACCCCTGTTTAGCAGGGCAAGCGCCGAGCAAGCAGCCACACGGGAGTGAGCAGCCTGAATGGGGACAACCTCCATTCCCCTGCATGGGGAAGATCTCCAGCACAGGGCTAGACGAGGTGGGAGGGTTACAACTGGCACACGCTGGTGAACGGTCAGGAGCGGCTCTTGGCCCCGCAAGAGGAGCCCTGGCGCTCAGCACCAGCCCACGCAGGCAGGGGCTCAGCAGGGAAGGCCCCTTTGCTTCCATCACGAGGAGGAGAGCTCAGAACATCAGCTCCCGTGGGGCTCCAATTTTACTCGGTTAACTGTCCCCGAGCCCTTGTTAAGGCATCTCAGCCCTACGAGTCACTGGCACGTGATTTCTTATCAGCAGACGGGGCAGCACTTGTCTCTGGTGGAAGGAGGAAGTCAGGCTTCCTCTGCTCCCCTCCCTCCCCAAAACACGCACCCAAGCAAAACCACTCGGTCCCGTTTTCCATCTGAAGAGGCTAAGATCTCCCTCCCGTGATTGAGCTGGGGACCCCCAAACTTCACCCCCGCGGAGGAGCCACGCTGCTTTGCATACGGAGCCCCGTGCAGAAGACGGCCACCCTCCTGCGGAGGCGCAGCCCCCACCCCCTCGCAGCACGGCACAGCCACAGGGCCCAGGGCAAGACTGCATGCACGCTACCCAGCCGCCCAAGGGGCCCATCACCGTGGCATCAGGTACCGATGGCATAAACCAGCATGTGGCCCAAAGACCAGCACGAGCAGAAAAGGAAGCATGTTTTTAAGTAAAAACGAATATATAGTCCTCAGCCTAATTTGCCACACTGATGAATCAATTCTGCCTCTCCGGAGTTGGCAGAGGCTGCCATAAGCCCATGCAAATGGGGAGGTTTCCCCTTGTGCTGGAACGTGACAGGCGATCCCATCACACCCCATCCCACCCTGATGGAGCTGGTCCCACACCCACCCTTTTCCCGGGTTGCTGGACTCGTGCATCTGCCTGGCAAGGCCAGAAGAAGGGAGTTTCCTTCGTAAATCCTAACAAAGGTTGAACTTGTCCGGAGGCCGGGGCATGGTGATCAAGCTGCCTGCAGCCTGCTCAGAGCTAGCCATGCCTGCAGCCGGAAACCCCCTCTCTCCACTTCCATGTAGAGCGGTCCCATCAGGACTCAATTCAGCAGAAAAGGAGCTGGCTTACATGGAAGAGATGGATGCTTGGAGGAGACCACTTGGTCCACAATGAAAAGACAGATGCTTGGAGGAGACTTATTGAGCACACAGGGCTTGCTCTCCACCCTGCTGCAGGATACGTATCACTGCCTTAAGTGCACACATCATCTTCTGCCTGTTCCTCATCCTTGACCTCTCTTACCATGCCGGCTCTGCCACTCTCTCTCAAGGACTGACGTGCTGTAGCCCCGTTACTGCAGCTCTGACTTCCCCAAGGCAAAGGGACCGCCAGTGGCACTGGGGAAGTGGTAGTGGTGGGAGCTGAGGCTTTTGCAAATGATTCTTGGAAGATAGCACCCACACATTTCACTGGTCATCATACCCACAGCTCCCCTGTTGGCCAATTTCCTTCCTCCAGAAGTGGGACCCCATCTAATTTTGAGCCACTTTTAGCCCCGTTGCTTCACCCCGCCTGGGCTAACGCTCCCTCTCCCGCGGAGGCGGGCAGGAAGGTATCCATGGAAGATCCTGCTGACGCTCCAACTGCCCAAGCACGTGCTCCTCGCCTCTGCCTCCACCTCATACGCTTTCCCCACAAGCGGCAGGCTGACCAACACAGCCCCCTCGCAGGCACACCTCGAGGCGGCACGGGTGGGCGAGCACGGGAGAGCTACGGATGGACAGCCAAAACTTCTGCCAGCTCCCTTGATGTGAGCCCGGTGCTCCTCTCCGGTCGGTACCAGCACGGGTGACTGGGGAAACAAGAACTACTCGGCCAAAACCCCTGAACTTTTTGTATTTTCAGAATGACAATTACAGGAAAGTGTTGTTGCCCAAGTCTTCTGAAATATAATGATAGTACAATTTTAATTCTCAGCCTGGGGATGTTTTGTGGCAGACTTCAAGCAAAGCACACAAGGAAATGTGCCGCTGACGGAGATGAAAAGAAGTCTATGGGTTTGTCTGGCTGGATGAAAGGGATGCAGCCTGTGGCCATCTGATCCCTTTTCTCTGGGGACCTTCTGTCACCGGATGAGCAATTGCTCCTCACACTTTAGCATTAGACTTGGTTTTGCATACAAAACCAGTGGCAGTTCAATGAGTTGCTGGGCGCTCTCGCAGTCCCCATTTGCATCAACTGGAGCGGTGGATGTTCAGCATTTCTAAATATAAATGCCGCCTACCTCTGCCGCAGGGTCAGGAGGAGAGACAGAAATAGCAGAGGCAGAAATCCACAGCCTCGCCACTCTAACCACAAGAATAGGGTTCTTTTTTCCCCAGTGCTGGGAGCGGATCCCAGGAAAGCCGGCTCCTATGTGGACACGGCCAGCCCGGAGCTGTACGAGCTGCACCACTGGCAGACTTTTCGCTCCCTCCCTCTTTACAGATTTCCTGTTCTGAACTGCACTGTGAGTGAGAGAAAATAGAAGAGCGACTGCAACCATTTGGAGAGCTCTCCGAGAACCTCTCGTGCCTACAGTAACCGAGGCACCACTGATTAATGTTTCCCTAGTTAATGAGATGCTTGCGTTAGGCTCTGGCCAAGCAAGTCTGACAAGCAAAGGGCTCAACCACCTTACAAAACAGCCCCAAGCAGTAAAAGCATCTCCAAGGAGCCGCATCTACCAGGCTCCCTACAGAACAGCAAGCAGGGAGCCCTGGGCACAGGACAAGGGGCTAGCCCGGGAAGGGGGCTTTTCTCAGGCATTACTTCCACAGCTTTGCTTAAAAGACCCCCGGCTCTCTCTGAGGGCACCTCGGCTCTAGCGTTACAGCTGGGAAAGGTGGTGAAGCTCCTCCACGCTGAGGAGCGCCAGAACCAGCCTGTAGATAGGACAGGACTAGAAAGCAGTATCCAGGAGCCTGGCTGGGGAGCGTGGGAGGCTGGGTTTAGTCTAACCTTGCTTGCTGTGAGACTTCCAGCCAATCTTCGGAGCAGATCCCACAGTGAGCATTAATGAACTAATTAGCAGATGCACAGGCTCCTTCCTAAGCAGGAAGTAAACACTGGAGCTGGCTCCCAGCTCATCTTCAGCCTCAGAGCCAGATGTGCTCTGCCAGGCAAAAGACAGAGCCTCCTTGCTGCTCCTGCTACTGAAGATAAGTGCTTGCTCGTGTCAGTGCCTCTTAGTTTCTCTTCCTCTTGCACCATTAACTCACTATCAAACTCCAGCCTGGGTTTGGGGCAAAGCTTTGCCCTTCCCAGCAGCTAACACGCTTCGCTCACGCTCTGTGTGTGCACTCATGATGAAAACCTTCCACCGAGGGAACGTACGACAGGAAAGAGCTGTGATTAGCTGAAGGCAGTTACCAGAAGCCAAACCAAATACCTCAAGCGTGATGCCTCTGCCTTTGAGAGGGCATTACGGATGTGGGAAGCCCCTCCTCATTAAGAGAAACACTCGTCTCCGTCACAGAGGCTCAGGAGGGCAGCCTCATAGCAGGGAGTGCGTCACAACCGTGCTGAAAGCTGCGGCTGTGCAGGTGGGTTGGCAAAGCAAGGCAATTTCCACCTGAGAACAAATAGTTCTTGGGTTGCTTGGTCTGTGGCCCTGAACACAGCCATCTCAAGGTCTTGCCCTGCAGAGCCAATCTCGTTTCGGGTCTTGCTTACACACCACCTCCCGCAGCCAAACCTTCCCCATTGGGGAGGAAATGTTGTATTCTCTGGGGAAGAGACAGCTTGTGGGGAGGGGGGGGCTTAGTTTTCTCCCACACCACCTTCTAGTTGCTAGCAGTCCCTTAGCAAGTGGAAATTGGCTTCCTACGGCGGGTCAGTTCTGCGCCAGGTTGTCCGGGGTGCCAGTCCCTTCTCATTCTGCTGGACCGGGCTTGGATGCCCCCACCGGTGACCCACCCAAACCCACACCAGGGTGCCAAGCATCCACGCACAGCGCAAAGCGGCAGACTCTCAGGCCGGGGTCTCGGGGGAAGCCCTTCATAGCTCGGCTGCACGGGTGCTCCTCGGCAGCGGGCTGGGGACCACTGCAGATAAAAGCTGGGCTTATCTCTAGGCACCGGCTCCGCGCCACCGGCCGGCTGCGAGGGACCAACCCCGGGGCTGGGAGGTGGTGGTGGTGGTGGTGTGTGTGCGGGTGTCCCGGCGCTCGCAAGCCCCCCCCGGGGAGGGA